GCTTGAAACGTCGAGAAAACATAAAATTAACCAATGGGATTTTTTGATGAAAACAAACTTCTATGGGAAGCTAACAATTGTAATGAGATATGATAAGGTTTCGCGCCAACAGGCGACCAACCAAATCACGTTGGACACGAATTTCGTGAATTTTATTATTAGCTTTAATAGGTTTCTTTTTTTTTCTGAAAAAGAAATTCATAATTTTTACCTGTGAAATTTTTTCTTCAAATCTGTTACCCTCCGTTGAACATTCAGAAATAAATGTTTCTTTCCAACTTTCACCTATTTTCAGAAAATTCAATTGATACTCAATAGAAGCCTGAATTGAAGTATTAATAGCGATATATCTGATAATGATGATTAATTCATGATAATATATATTTTTTTGTGACTAATTAAATTTATTTTGACCATAATTTGTAATTTCTCATAATATGGTTTGAATATATGTTATAAGTTTTCACGCAACGCCTATTACTCGCCTCCCGCCATAGCATTTTTGCCCTCGTCTGGCAAGGGCTTATGCTAGCCAGAATGGTCTGGCAATTGCACAGACCTTTTTAGAATTGCTTAGATAAACACATATGTAAATTTCAGCTTTACAGGACAAAGTTTATTTTGGGGCATTTTTTGCTCACTTTCCGGCTCGTCTGGCAGGTACTTGTGCAGGTCGAAATGGTCTGGCAGATTGATTTTCGAACTTCTCAATGAGTAAATTAAATCGTATAAAAATTTGAACCTTACAGGAACAAGTTTAATTTTCGGGTGTTTTTTACACTTTCAAACGCCTGGACGACCATGATGTGCAGGGCTAAAACCTGCCAGACCGTCGTTTCCGTACTTAGCACGTTAAAAATCACCTGTACAAAAATTTTTAGCCTTACAGGAACACCGTTATTCAAAAGGTTCACTGGCTCTCAGTCTATAAATTTGTAATTTTATTTGAAAGTAGACCTATTTTTACATTGAAACATATTTTTATTATATATACATATATATATATATATATATATATATATATATATATATATAATATATATATTGGGCTCGCCATATGTAAGCGATTGAGAGCGACCGGACTTGATTCAGAGGTCCCTGGTTCGATACCCACTTTGAGAAGCTTGTTGTCAAGCAACAGTGACAACGATTTTCACTTGGAAATATAGATAGCAATATGTTTCCAAGTGAAAATAGCCCTAATCTGCCATTGCAGCAACAATAAAAATACTCGCCCTATTACGGAAATTGTAATAATAATAGAGATGTGACAACTGATTGGGTTGCCATCTTTCAAACAGACTAGTATTAAGTCAAATCCGCACAACAGCTTATAGGACTATTGGGTTCTGATTGCTGTTCAAAAATAATTAAAAAAAAATTATGTATGAAATAAATGAATAAATAAATAATAATACGTTAGACTAAAACAGCCAGGCAACACGATCGTTTTGAAAAAAAGTTAAAAAAAAAAAAATAAAAAAAATTCAAAGTATATAAAAAAATCAAGTTTTTCAAAAAAGTAAATTTTTTCAAAAATTTCAAAGTTCACAAAAATCTCTTTTTTTCAGTTTTTCAAAAATTTTAAAGGTTTTTTAAATGTTTTAATTTTCGGTACGGAAAGTTCCAGCAACGATGCCATGCACCACTAGTTGTAATAGTGTTGACTTTTAATAGCGCAGCAATCCCGTATCACTACTGCTTGATATGGGGATGTCCGAGGTAGATATCGACAACCATTGAGCCAAAAAGGATCTTTATATGACTTATGTGGTTGCCAATAATATTTATAGATTATACAAGGACTTAATCGCTTTATCGATTCAGACAGCTATATTGGCAGTCGATAAGTGCTGTATGGATTTATGCCTCACATACATCCTGTTATCCCTATCGTAATTGTTTCTTTAGTCCTGTCGTATCTAATGCTTTCTTATTTGGATTAAAGCAGTAATCCACTTAGAGAGCGTCTTCAAACGCTTCAATTAACAATGTGCTGGACGATCGGCTTTTCCTACCCGCTCGGATTTCATTAGTGCGCGCGATAATCCAATAGAACAGTTTTGTCAGTCGGTCTTCACTTACAATACAATGCCAGTATAGCGTTAAACAAGAATTGACCAAAGGACTTCATTAAAGTAACGTATAATAGAATAAAACGGCTTTGTAAATGCGCATTCCTGGTAATCAATGTACCATGGACATATTAGAAGAAATACAGCAGAGTGACGGACGCTAAAGGTTTTGTACAAATACCTGTTAATTAAAATAAGTGTAACATCAATTTGAGATTGTTCATGGTTCTTGTTTATTAATTCAACCTCAATCACATAAACTTAGTTACATAAATATTTATATTGGATATAAGAATAATTAAACTCTATTTAGAACTTATACTCATCTGCATATGTATATCAATGTTGAACTAACAAGGAGAACCTCAGGTTTTCCCGTCTTGAATTTTGATGAAGCTTTGCACGATAATAAAGTTGAACGTCAAAACGAACTCATTGAAATATTAGAGTCCTATGAGAAGTGGTTCAATTATAAAAATTAATTAAAACATGGAAATATTAGGCTCCTATTGAAGTCGATATTATAATATATGTAGCTACAGAACTTCCAAATATGTACATTAATTTTTATTTAAGAAATAAACAGAGTTAATTAATAATTATGAAAATATTTCACAGATATAAAAAAAAATTGAAACTAGTTGGTATTAGTATTTTGCCTTATGGCAAATTACATAAACTTCCCGATATGTGTAAAGAATCGACTTAATCAATAAAATATAAATTAATTTATGAGTGATTAAAAGTATTCCGAGTGAATTTATTATACATATAATATTTAAAACGTACAAACACGTTAACTAAAATATTTTCTAAAAGCAAACTTTCAAAAATTAACAATTTTTATAATTGAACTAGTTTCCGTAGGACTTTAATAGTTTAGTATGTTCATTATCGTCTAATTTTACTCTTAATATTTTACTCTTAATTAATACTCATTTTCTTAAACTTTGATGAATTTTTAACATTAAACTACTTTTCGTAAGCCCGTAATATTTCAGTAAGTTGTATAAGACCATGATATATATCGCCACAAAAGTTACATAAAAATCGGCTTAAAATTTTTTTTAGCAATTAATTACAAGAAAACGGCTCGGTAGATTGTCACCTAAAACTAATCAGTATCATTTCCAACTAATATCTTTTATTCAGTTTTTGATTTTTTAAAATGGATTCGGTATTTTTAGCTTAAATGTGGACGAAAAGATTTAACACTTCTTTCCAAATCACAAAGAAACGGCTCGGCCGATCGTCGCACAAAACTGAGAAATGATAATCCTCATCGAGATACATCAAATGACTTTTAAATTTTTGAAATCGAAATCTGAAATTCTGAAACGTCTATGGAAGGTCTAGTTTTGACAAAAGCCAAAAAAACGATACTAATTTTTGCCAACTTTTAGTATGTTCATTATCGTCTAATTTTACTCTTAATATTTTACTCTTAATTAATACTCATTTTCTTAAACTTTGATGAATTTTTAAAATTAAACGACTTGTCGTAGGACCGTAATATTTTAGTATGATCTATAAGACTATGGTATTTACCATCAAAAAAAAAATTCATGAAAATCGTCAAAAAAAAAATTTTACACTTTATTACAAGAAAACGGTTGAACGGGAATCAGCATGATTCCCAACCAATATCTTCCGAACAGTTTTTGAATGTTCAAAATCGGTTCAGAAGTGCGGGCTAAAATGTGGACGAAATTTTTTCCACTTTTCTGCTATTTACAAAGAAACGGCTTGGCTGATCATCGGACAAAATTGATAAACGCTAGTTCTTATCGAGATTCATCAAATGGCTCTAAATTTTTGAAATCGATCCGTTCACGAGTAGCCTTTTGTCGAGCATTTCTCACAACGGTTTGCATTTGGAAACATATTGCTATCTATATTTCCAAGTAAAAATAGCCCTATTACTTCATTGCTCCATCAATAAATACTCGCTCTATTACAGAAGTTGATAATAATCATTTAGCACACAGAGATAGTACAACTGCTCATGTTGGCATCTAGTAGAACCCTCTAACATTAAGTCAAATCAGCCTAACAGATTAAAGGACTCTTAAATAAATTCTCATTGCAGTTCAAAATTATACTAATAAAAAAAACTTATCTAATACAAGCGAACTTTATAGTGCTTGTAATATTGATTTTCCTTTTAAATTGCATTAATTTAAAAAATTGGTTTCATTAGCACTCCTTCATATTACATATATGGATTTGTGAAATTAATGAAATAAGACTTAAGTATACAAACTATTTTCTGAAATGTCTACTTTTTCATCATTTTTTTAAAATATTGTAAACATGAGCAAAGTACTTGCAATGACAGCTTAATCCACTAAATCATTAATACTTTCACAAAATTAGCAAATTGTTAGTAAAATACTCTATTGAATTTTCTTCACCGAAGTTCTATGAAACGCATAATCGTCAAAAGTTTACATATGTTCTTCAATTAATTCAATGTCGCCTACAGGTAGGTGGGTAGGTGAACTAGAGAACACTTAATCAAGTCAAATGTTCCATGAATAATATATTGTTCAAAGATACTACAAATTACAAATGGAATAATATATTAACGGGTAATTATTGTAGTCGAATCATATATGATTGTATCCACATCGTAAATGTTATTTCGGTGCTTTTCAATTATTTTTAAGTAGGCATCCTATCTATATAAATTAATATTTTCAATGTAGAATGCAGTATAGGATCACTAAATAAATTAGATCAAAGTGATTATTTATTATATAAGATGATTTACTTTAATAGTAAATATTTACTTACATTTTTCATCACAACGTATAGGATCCTTAACTTCTGATGCGTGTTCAAATAAAATAAAAAAAAAATTAAAAAAAAAAAACAACAAATTTAAATAATTTAAATATTTATTTTATTATCAAATGTTTATTATTATTTTGTTACTTCATGAAGCCCTTTGGCAACATAATCTACATTCAGTTTTTTAATTCCTGCCAAAGACAATCTTCCTTCATGCCTCACATATATGTGGAACTCATCCTTTAATCGCTTCACATGTTCATCGCTCATATTCATATAGTAATAAGGTCCAATTTGTGATAAAATATTCTTCCAATTTTTCTTAGATCCTTGTTTCTTTAAAGCTTTGTATAAATGTACTCTTGCTTTTCTTAATCGTAGCAACATTTTTTTTAAATCTTTTTGCCACATGCAATACAATTCCTCATCGGATAAAATTTCCATGACTATGCGCGCCCCATGAGCTGGTGGGCTGTTATACAGAGGACGGATGATAATTTTTAATTGAGACATGATACGATCACTTTCTTCTTTACAATCAGTTGTAAACGATAAAACGCCTACACGTTCAGCATACAAGCCCATATTTTTCGAAAAACTTGATGCCACACATAAATTTATACCGTGACTTACGAAATATCTTAGTGGAAAAGCGTCGATATTCATGTCACCAGTTGCAAATCCCTGGAACGCCAAATCAAAAAATGGAAGCATTTGTTTCTGTTTAATAGACTTAGCCAAAATTTTCCACTGTTTTTTCTTCAGATCTACTCCTGTAGGATTATGAGCACTAGCTTGAAGTAAAATAATGGACTTATCAGGCATCATTGCTACGTCCCTCATCATGCCTTTGAAATCTAACTTAACTTCTGAATTTGTGTACGTATACTGTTTAACTGGTAATCCTACGTTTTTCATTATGCCGATGTGAGGTGGCCAAGTGGGTTTAGATACAAAAAGAATTTTTTCTCCGGACCAAAACTTAGATAAAAACATTCCGCCGATGCTTAAAGCGCCGGTTCCTGAAACACATTGCACTGTAGCTACCTTGTCGTCCAAACATTCGCTGCGCTCTCCGAAGGCAAATTCTTGAGACATTTTACAAAATGTCGTATCGCCTTGAATGGGTAAATATTCTTGATTCATATTCTTTAGTAAAATCCTTTCCATGGCTTTTGTTACACTGGGTAGCACATGAGGCCCATTCTCATCGTGATACGTCCCCATGGTCAAATCGACTTTATTTTTGTGGGTGTCCTTTCGCATTGTATCCATAAGGCCTATTATAGGATCTGGTGGACCTAATGGTATATTCACCCAATAAGAGTAATACTTCATAATTTTTATGTTTGTAACCTTCATTATAGAATGACATTGTTGAATTTTTATTAATGGTATATAATGATTCGATTTATAACAGATAATTCTTGATAATATACTTAAAATTTGCATAATGATCACATATAAAAAGGAAATAAAATTACTCGTGATTTAAAATTTTTGTAACTAAATGTCAAATTAGACATAAAATTTTAATGATTATACATAATTTTATTTTATTATGCTGATTAGTCTTTAAGATATGATAATGAATATTGAAATTAACTATTCACGAATGAACTCCAATATAAATTGTAATGCCGATATAATTATGCACATTTAATGACAAATTATAAAATACATCAGCATCACAAATATTGTAAAAATTATATTCATCAAATTGAAATGGAATGTCTAAATTCTACAAAAATAATTTTCAAAAATTATGCAGAATTTCAAACAATATCAGCATTATAAGACATAATAAAGTTCTAACTTCATTTTAGATAGCTAATTTTAAAAAAATTCATCAAATAATAATGGGATTTAACTCTCTCATCTATTATATGGATGCTTCAATTATTTGGATTGTCAACTGTAGAAGCCATATAGTTTAGACACAAAAATAGTTATAAAAATTTCTATTATATAATAAATAATCGCATGCTATTAGAGTTAACAGAATCATTCATTGGCTGATGATTTTAACGCTAATTATCATTTGTGACGTATTGAGTTTCTTAATTATTGATGTATAAAAAACTATAAAAAAAATAGATCAGTATTTTCTCAAATTCATTAAAGTTTTCATCAACAACTATATTTTTGGAATTTTTTGAAAAAATAGAATTCGTAGTCTAAATTAACCTAAACGATAAGCAATTGAAATATAAAAAGATATCAAAGTTTAGCATTTCGCTCCGCATTTAAGCAATTCTAATCAGAATCTTTGCCGAAGCAACTGTAGGTTCTATATTCTTTCGTAAGTTGCTACTAATTACACGTTACGTCACAATTAAATAAAATACGTTTTTAAAATATGAAATGATTGAAATTTGATAAACAAATTAATTTAATTCATACGATTACAGATATTATAAGTAATGTTTAAAATATATCAATTGAAAATCGTTTTCCATGAAAACGAAATCTTTATTTTCTAAATAAACAGTTCAAAATTTTATCTAAATAGCTAATTCCAATTCTTGTTTACAATATCGCTTATTTACACGTATCGGAGAGTTCATCCAACTTGCCTTAAGGCAAAATGCTACTTTGAACTAGTTTAACAATAAACAGAAGAGCTATGAGCTGTTGCATAATGGTGTTTCATAACTACGTACAGAATATGGTTTGCCTGTCGATATCTATTACACTTTTCAATATTAACATTTTTCTAATACTGATACCACTTTTAATTGGATGGTAACAATACCGGGAAAAGTCGACACTCAGTTGGAAACATGTCAAACTATATAGTGGTAAATTGCTGGACTTCGCTTGTAGAAAGTTTATTTTTTTAAAAAAACGTATGGTAAGTTATTGTAAGCGCCCAAAAATCGAAAGTATAAATTTTTGATTAGCTTCACTTTCAGAGGTTTCTGAACATTTTCAAATACCTCAGAAAAAATGAATGTGTTTTGTAAGCGTGGATACAATTTTTGTCGACGTTTGCGGTAGTACCGCTTAACCAATTTGAATAATTCAATAAGCTATCGATGCTTACTAATAGGGAAATTTACTAATTAATTTTTGAGAAAGGTCGGCTCTGCCGATTCCGACAGACGAAGCAAAAGATTGCAGAAAATTGAAATTAAGTATTTGAGAGAACATGGCATCCGATTTTAATGATTTGGGTTTTAATTTTAATTCTAAAAATAAAATTATAACACTCACTTATATACATCAAATAAACAATTTTAACTGCGCAATTGATTTTATATAATTCTTAAAAATATGTGATAAGATCATTCATTCTAAATTTCATTTTGTTTATAAAATACGAATATTAAAGTTACGGCATTTACTATAACCTATTTAATATTCTTTGAATATTTCATTACGGTACAAGATGTTCCAGCAACTCGCCTTAAGGCACGATGCCATGCACCCATAGTTAATTTTGAAATGCTTAAATTTCCTAAAATTCTGAGTGACAAATATGAATTTCAAATTTGTTTGTTAATTAATTTTCTGTATAACATTTAGCTATAAATCTTTACCTTTAGATCAACTAAAACTTGAAAGTCTTATATAAGCGGTGCATCATTTTTTAATTTCCCGTTATAGTAATCGCAAAAAAATCGAAAAAGAAAATGTTTGGATACAATTTTTTGTCCACGATTTCGGGCGCATAAATCAACCGGAATGTTTTAAAAAACATTCGATTCCTATTGTTAGAGACATGCTAATTAGTTTTATGCAAAAGCTGGTTCAGCCATTTCGAAGATACGAGGCAAAAGGTGCCAAAAACGGTAATTCAGTTTTTGAGAGAATGGAGCGCCGGATTTGAATGATTCAAAAAAAGTTTTTTTTGCAAAGGCTGGTCCAGCCGTTTCGAAGATACGAGGCAAAAAGTGCCAAAAACGGCAATTCAGTTTTTGAGAAAATGGAGCGCCGGATTTGAATGATTCAAAGAAAGCATTTTGATTGTATTGACGAAATGAAGACTTGATTACATTTTTAAACAGGTAGGATTAGCGGTTTTGGAGATATAGTACAAAAAGTAGAAAGAAATAATATTTGGCGGTCTAAAATGATCATCAATTCATCAGACATATCAATTTTGTTACAATTTTTCACCGTACCAATTTTTCAATTTTTAAAGTTCCAGCAATTTGTCTTAAGGTATGATGCCATGCACCACTAGTTAACTACCCATATTTGATATATTGTTATTATGAAAACTACTCTAATGCCAATCAAATTTTTAATTGAATACGCTTTTGAAACATGTCAAATAAATGAAAACCAAAGTCACTACTTGACACCACTATTTAACTTCCCGAGTTTATGTTTTCATCAAAAAATCCGATTCGCTAATTTTATGTTATCTCGACGTTTCAAGCCATTCTGAATCGAATGAGACCAAATTTGGAAAAAGTATGTGTGTGAGTGTATGTGTATGTGTGTATGTGAACAGATGTTTTGCCGTAAATCGACGTTTTCTCAAAAACGGCTGGGCCGATTTCAAAAATTTAAAAGCGATTCGATGTATCTCGACAAGGACTATCGTTTGTCAGTTTTGTGGGACGATCGGCCGAGACGTTTCTCTATAAATAGCAGAAAAGTGAAAAATTTCTTCTACGTTTCAGCCCGCAATTCTGTACCGATTATGAAAATTCAAAAACCGTTCGAAAGTTATTGATTGGGAATCGTGCTGATTAGTTTTTGGTAAAGATCGGCCGGGCCGTTTTCTTGTAATGAAGTGTTAAAAATTTTTTTTTCGAAGATTTTCATTATTATTATTTGACGGTAGATGCTATAGTCTTCTAGAACATATTAAAATATTACGGCCCTACGACAATTGGTTTAACTTTGGAAATTCGTCAAAATTTGCAAAAACTGGTATCGTTTTTTGGCATTTGTCAGAATTAGACCAAGAAAAACGCCTGAACCGATTTCAGAAATTTAAAAGCTATTTGATGTATTTCGATGAGCACTATCGTTTGTCAGTTTTGCGACGATCTGCCGAACCGTTTCTTTGTTATTTGAAAAAAAGTGTAAAACTTTTCGTCCACATTTAAACTCACTGTTCGAAAGATATTAGTTGGGAATAATACTGATTAGTATTAGGTGAAAATCTAAATCGAGCCGTTTTCTTAACATAATTAACTGTTGAAAAATAAATGTAAGCCGATTTTTATGGATTTATTTTTAGCGATATATACCATGGTCTCATAGAACTTACTGAAATATTACGGCCTCACGACAAGTAGTTTAATTTTAAAAATTCATCAAAGTTTAAGAAAATGATTAGTTTTTTTGACGTTTGTTAAAATTAAAATTGGACGATTTTACTTGATATAACGATAGAGTACTTGGTTTTAATGAACTTATCAAGCCATTAAAGTCCTAAACTGGTTCAATTATAACAATTGTTGATTTCTGAAAATTTACTTTTAGAAAATACACCGTGTCAAAGTGTTCGCTCGTTTTCAAATATGTGTAATAAATCCACTCGGAATACTTATAATCAATCATAAATTAATTTATTTTTTATTGATTAAGTCGATTATTTAAACATATCGGGAAGTTCATGTAACTTGCCTCAAGGCTAAATACCAAACCAACTAGTTAAATAAATAATTGATTCGCAAAAGAATTACAGCTTTTCATACATGGAATTGCTTATCGATAATAACAAGATGTGACCATTATAAATCGATAATAACCAATAAGTGCGAGACCACTGCATCTCGGTCTATGCGTTATCGCTCCGTGCACCGTCAGTGTACTCGTACTGCGTTCGTCCATGTTCTCTTCCGTCCGATATTCCGCATGCTCCAGTAGTACTCCGACGCCGTCGTTGGCAACATCGGTCTGGTTCTTTCCGAACTCTCGGTTATATTATTATTAGTGTTTCTGTTCTGTCGGTCAGTGTGTGCGAGGTTATAATCAGTTCGTTTGGTATTTGTGCGACTCGCTTTTCTATTGTGCATTTAAACAGTTTGTCTTAAGTGTCACGTGCTATCTGGTTTGAGGAGAAGTTTATTTCAGCCGGAATTGTAAGTACTGTTGCAACAGATCACAGTTTTTTAATTGATTCTCGTTTAATTTGACACTTTGCGTAACATTTGTTGTCGTCGCGTGCAGCGACGAGCACGCGCTTTGTAATGTTTTGTTTTGGATTGTCATGCTTGCGGTATATTGACTTCGGTTCGATGACAAAGTAAGAAACTCATATGTTGGTATGGTATTTCATTACAGAGTTATAAGTGAAATCACCAGATGAGCACTTATTTGTGTCACTAAAATTATAGAAAAGTTATATTTTCTGTTCTTTAAAAATATTGTTTTTTTTTTAAATATCTGCGCCTATTCCATTATAGAAGATCAGCAAATTTTTACTAGTATGTACTTACAATTTTTAACTTCCCGTAGGGTAGTTATAGTAATCCAAAAAAATCGAAAATGAAATTTTTTGCATATCTTCACGTTTTGAAGGATTTTGGCATACCTCAGAAAAAATGGATGTGTATGTGTGTTTTGTATTTCCCCATTTTTCCGTCCACGTTTTCGGGCACACGGATCAACCGATTTGAATGGTTCAAAAAACATTCGATTCTTATTGATAGGGAGATGTGTCGATTAGTTTTTGGTAAAGGCTGGTCCAGCAGTTACGGAGATCAACAGCAAAGAGTGCAGAAAGTAGAAATCGAGTTTTTGAGAGAACGGAGTATCCGATTTGAATGGTCTAAAAAACATTCTATTTGTAATGATTGGGAGAAGAGGTGATTAGTTTTTGGCAAAGGCAGGTCCAGCCATTTCGAAGATATAGAGCTAAATGTGCAGAAAGTTGCAGTTTTTGAGAGAACTAAGCGTCCGGTTTGAATGATTCAAAGAACTTTCTGCTTGTTTGAACAAAATATGTAATTGCTTTTAGAAAAAAAATGTTTGTTTCAATATTTTTTTCAAATAATTTTTTTTTGTATATCGAAAATGATTCAGATTTTAATTATAATTCTGACTAAAGTTCTAATATTAACTTTAAACAAATAATTTTATCTTTGCAATTCAGTTTATATAATTCTCATAAATATTAGACAATGTTACAATATTTATAATAATCTATTTCGTTACGGTACGGAAAGTTCCAGCAATTTGCCTTAAGGCACGATGCCATACACCACTTTAGTCCCTGGTTACAATTTTTATAACATTTTACAAAATAAATAAATAAATAAATAAATTTCATATGTGCAATGAATAAATACTTATTTAAAGCTACTTAACAATTATTATTAGTATTTATAATTAGAATATCTAAATCGAATGCCAATACAGTGATTAGACGTCCAGGAATGTTGGTATCCATACTGGATGAGTACAATATTGATCTTAAATATATATTTTATTTAACGTACAAATTTTATGTGACATATTATTATAAAATGAGCTGACAATAAAGAAATGTCGCAAATTTTATTAGAGATTATCCGATAATAACTTGTCCAATTAAATTCATTTTTTATCTTCCCGAAGGAGACGTTTATTTTTGCTAAAAAATCCGATTTGGTAATTTTCTTTTCTCGAAGTTTCAAGTCATTCTAAATCAATTGGGATAAAATTTAGAAAAAGTATGCGAGTGTGTGTAGTTTTGTTCGTCTGTGTATGTGTGTGCGTATGTGAACCGATTTTTGGCAATTTGTTGACGTTTTCTGAATTCCGAAAACGGCTCGACTGATTCAAAAAATTTGAATTCATTCGATTTATCTCGATAAGGACTAGGGTTCAATTGTTTTGTACCACGATAAGCCAAGCCGTTTCTTTGTAATTGGCAGAAAACTGTAAATTTTTTTGCCCGCGTGTTAGCTCACATTTTTTTTTATTTTAAAAATTCAAAAACTGTTCGAAAAGGTATTGCTCGGAAATCGCGTTGATTAGTTTTTAGTAAAAATCTGCCCGTTCGTTTTTTCGTAATTAATTGTTTAATTTTTTGATGATTTTGATAAAACTTAGTACGCTGATAGATTGCATAGTTTGAAATAACATACTAAAAAATTATAGACCTTCTACAAGCAAAGAATTATAAAAAATCATCAAAGTTCAGAACTCAGCCACGCATTTGCGATTCTAATTAGAATCTATGCTGAAGCTTATATGCATTCCGTGCTTCGTATGTAGCTACTGATTACAGTCGACGTCCACACTTAGATAAAATACATTTTTAGAAACCAAAATGGATGTAATTAAATGTAGTAGACAAATAAATTTAATTCATACAATTTTAGATATTACACGTTTGTTTGAAAGACGTCAATTGGAAATTACATTGATAAATTTTTAGTGAAAGCGAAAATATTATTTTCTAAAAAAAAAAAACAGTTAAACATTTTATATAAATAGCATAATCTCATTTTTTATTAATTAATTCGATTATGTATACGTATTGGGAATAACACGTATTGCTACTCAACTTACAACTATTTTTTTAGTATCTGCAAAAATCAGCAAAGTTTTGGTAGTACTTAGAATGTCTGAATCAAATGCCAATCCAGTTATTGTATGTCCAGATATAATGGTAATAAATTAATAAAATACTTTAATTAATGTATAAAGTTTACTTACATGACATAATATAGTACACCAAATACACAGTAATTAAATGAAATGTTCCTCAACTTTTACTTGAGATTATGTAACAAGTATACATATATTAGGGTCGAAATTATTAGACTGTTTACATATTAGCCATTTACATGATAACTATCACTTTATTCAATTTTTATTATAAAATCACAGTTCTATTAATTCCTTTATATTAATGTCTTAAAATATATTTGTACATATATATTTATATGTGTAACATATTTAAGATAATACTTGAATATAATTATATGTGCGAAAAAAATATAAATTAATTTGTAAAGCCTCATTTTATACGTTCATAATGCGTTCATAATTTTATATTTGAATTTATTACATACACTTGGTTACACTTTTTAGAGAAGAAAAGATATTTCATTTGATGATAATTATATTGTAATGAAATGTTCAAAAAAGCACTATAGTAGGATATATTGAGTCTTGGAAAAACAATAAATAATTTGTGTCCTTTTGTTGAGTTCAAATATATATTTAGCAAAGTAGTTAGCAACAATTATTCATAAATAACATTTAATATTTTTTATCAAATTTAAAGATTCCTTTCATGCTACCTGTAATTCTAATTATTTAAATAATCTTTAATTACTAAATTAATTTTATCATTGCTTTTTTCGTAGAATTAAAACAAACTTTATTTATTTATCAGATTATGTCTTATCTAAGAAAACAAATTTACAAGCTTAAGTATTAAATACCGAGACATGATAATCATTTATATAAATGTTTCTGATATCTTTAAAATCGTGATAAGATCACAATAATTAATTAATTGTGGAACTATTTTTTATATTTTCAAAAAACTCCTTTTCCATGAACTGTCTAATTTATTTTTAACCATTACTTATTAATATATTTCAATCTTCTAATTTTATCTTGTAAAAAATTATGCCCTCATTTTAGGTAGCATTTCATACACCGTGAAAACTTTCTTATCTTATCTTTTTGATATATAATATTTTCTAAATATTTTTCATGTTGGATGTCAATACAGGTTTAGTTGACCAACCATGCGATTATTGACATAATTCTTATCTTTTTTATCAATAACGATATAAATGTATATTTATATCAATATATTAGTGAACAATAAATTGCATTTAAGGTTTTCACGTGTGATTCGGATTACGACTAAGTTACTAGTATTACTTTTACTTTGAAAATAAATTATAAATGGGCGAGAGTAAAATAAAAATATATAAAAAACAAAAAAATGACATAAACTTAAACTTCTGTACGTGAGAGAAGTCTAGTAGTTTTAAAATAATTCCCTAAATAATATTTCTTAATTTTATAACATTTTATTTTCAAGTACATATATTGTGTTATATTAAAAAAAATATGTTTTTAATTTAAATTTAGTACAAAAACAGATTGAGCATCCTAATCCTAATTGCTTATGAAGGATTTTATTACATATAATTAATAACAGAAGTATTAAAAAAAAATTAATGACCTATTTTTAATTTTATGTTAAGTAAACAAAACATTATCTATTATTATCTATTATTATTTTTATATAGATGCTGTTATCACTGTATAGAATTGTCCCTTTTTTACGGCAATTTTTTGTAGTCTTTAGTAAAACAAAGTAACAAAGAAAAAAAAAGAATTATAACAATATATATAGCTCAATATTCAAAAATTTGAAATAGAATTAAAATCATTATATTTTATTCTAAATAAAAATTGGAATTTTGTCTATTTAAAATTTAAAATAAAACGCACACTGCTAATTTGTAATTAAATTGTATACATTGTATAACCGATCCGAATGATGTTTTCATTCGAATGATTTAAATGATTTTTTTACTCATATTCATATTCATTATGCGATATATAAAAATCTACAGATTGTTTACTAACGAATATATAACTATTTATAACACAAATTTAATAGTGTGAGTAGTATTATATGAAAAATTATTAACATGTTTACACAAATATAGGCATTTTATACTTTCATAGAATATTTCGGTCGAGTATTTCGTTGTACTTACTAATTATTTTTAAAATGTTATCGAATATAAAATGAAACACTAAATTATAATTATTTTTCAGAAATGAGTAATTAGTAATCGATTACCAAGTTTAGGACTTTTTATTTCATTTGTCTGCTTTTGGTGACCCACACTTGCCATAAATCAAAAATATCAAACTGGGGTACAGACAGTGCTATCAAAAATATATTCATAAGCGAGTTTAATGATCTATAAAAATTAATTAACGATTGATCAAAAAAGAATCTCAATGAATTCGACTGTACTCAACTACTTACATTCATTTGTACCACTTATGAATTTATTGCCTGCTTTACTTGACAATTCATTCATGGCCTTGCATATTAATTGGTAATGGAATGTCTTTCCAAACTTCCGTTTGTGCTAAGGAATTCCTCTAC